AGACCCCTGCTCTAACCAAACTATACTGGCAAATCTGAAGAGTGACAAGACTTAACAGGTCAGAAAAAGTGTCTCAATACAATGTGCAAACGATCATACCGGATCCTTAATTCCACGTGTTCGTAAAATGCTTAGAGTAACCCAATGCCAATTAGAACCTTACTTGGCAAGGAAAATACTAGAGGTTTAAATTGGTTTTAGAAAAGGCCCAGGAAGAAGAGATATTTTTGATGCACCCTGGGAAGCCAAGGATACCCAAAAGAAGTGAATGCGTGCATCATTGGCTGTAGAAAGCTTTTGACTGGGTGATCACGTTAAACCCTGCAATATCCTTAGAAAATGGGAATGCCAGAACATGTCCTTGTCCTTGTGCAAAACCTTTATTCAGAACGAGAAGTTAAAATCCAGACAAAACACGGTGAAGGTTGGCAAGGATGAGACAAGGCTGTATACTCTTCTCTTATTTGTTCAACCCACAGGCTCAATATATACTGAAGGAGGCTAGGTTGGAAGAAGGGTGGTTTTAAAACCAGAGGAAGAAGCAAAAATAGCCTGTGCTATGCTGATGATGTACACCGATAGCTAATAAAGGTAATGCTCCAATAAGGCTGAAGTCCCCATTCAGAAAGACCTCGCTTCTGTTCAGGCAGCCAAACACAATATCTCTGCCTGGTTCACACTACATCTTAAGATATGGAGCTTAATTACATTTGGCTTAGCATAGTTCAGTCTTGGATGTACAGTGGTACCTTGGTATCCATTGTTGATTCGTTCCAGGAAATGTGAGTACCAAACATGACTAGTACCAAATTTTTCCCATAAGGAATAATGTATTGAGTCATAAGGCAGGCTGACATTGACAAATTCTAGTTTGTACTTTGAGTATCAAACAAACGAGTACTGGAACAAACTTTTCATGTCAAAATGTGTTGAGTACCAAATTGAATGAGTTTCAAAGCAATTGAATATCAAGGTACCACTGCATAACTGAGTTCTGTAAACTCCATCACAATGGTTTGCAAACTATGTTTTTTGCTTAGCACAATGAACTCAATTTGTCGCAGGGGGTCACACACTATGTCAAGTATTATGAATTATAAGAATCATGAGTCTAAGTGGCCTTCAAATGTTGATGAATAAGGTTCTTGAATAAATCACAGTAGGCTATGTGTGTACATCCAAAGTCAAAATCAAGCCTACGGCATAATTGCTTGATACAATATGTAACTCTAGAGTGGATTAAACTGCGTGCTTCCAAGAAGGCCAGCTATCCTTCTGCTCCAGGAGCCATAGCTTTGTATTGGTTTTCTCCCAAGTCAAGTCCCTTGGTGTCTTTCAGATCAACCACTCAGGTAGAAACCCACATGTTACATTTCTAAGATAAAGAGTATTTACTCTCAAAGGAACTATGAGAAATTAGGTGTCTTGCCAGCTATGACTGGACTCATACCTCTACAATCCCAAGTCAGCCTGGCTAACAGTCAAATATGAGGAAAGCTGAAATACAACCACATATGAAGAACCATGTATGGCAGTGGTTCTCAACTTTTTCTTCACCATGGATCCCCCTTTAAATACCTTTTGTGGCCAAAGAACATGGCTACAGGCCTCCAAGATTTAACTCATAACATTTCTTCAAGCCTTCACAAACCCCCTACGATGACACTGTGCCCCCCCCCCCAGGGGTTTGAAGACCACAGGTTGAGAACCACTGATGTATGATATTCTTTATCCCTATTTTAAATAAGTTTCCCCGTCCATTTTTTAGGATAATGCATCCAGAGATCTTATGACTCTTAGACCTCCACAATTAGTAGTACTATGTTCTTGAAAATAAGTTGGAAATTCTTTAGAAAGCAACCGCCATTATATCTTAAATGTAAGCTTTCTTAGAACCTCTGACTGGCCAATCCAGAAAAGCAAAAACAGATCCATCAAGACTTTGGCCTTCTCCAGGATCTATTCTGGTCAGCTTAACACTAACAGCTTTTGTAGCACTAGGTGAACTGTATTCCATGTTGCTGTACTTCTGATGTCCCAATATAACCTCATTCCAAAATACAGTAAGAATGTCAGGGTGACCTGTTCTTTATCGCTTAGAAAATCCAGACAAGTTTGAGAACAGGCAGTCCTTGCCACTTGCCCAATTATTTTAGGGTATTAGCAACCTTAAGTCTTTAATAAACGGGAGAGAAACCTAGCTTAGATGTTTGGCAACCTAGAGAATCTGAACCTTCTGTTTTTTGTCTTTCATTTTCCTTTCCTTAAACCAGGGGTCTTCAAACTTGGCCCTTTTATGACTTGTGGACTTCAATTCCAAGAATTCCTCAGCCAGGCAGGCTGAGGAATTCTGGGAGTTGAAGTCCACAAGTCATAAAAGGGCCAAGTTTGAAGACCCATGCCTTAAACCAGTGGTTCTCAACCTTTCTAATGCTGCGACCCCATAATACAGTTCCCCATGTTGTGGTGACCCCCAACCACTTATACATCACTGGGTGCCAGGGGTGTGGCCAAAGAAAAGGGGGAAAAAATGGCGGACAGCCTTGTTTGGCGACCCCCGTGAAATGGTCGTTCGACCCCAAATGGAGTCCCGACCCACAGGTTGAGAACCACTGCCTTACACCAAGCTCAGGATTCCTGTATTCTGGAACACCCTCGCCATCCCATAATGCCATTTCAACAAACATCACCAACATCTGCTAGAGCAGTGGTTCTCAACCTGTGGGTCGTGACCCCTTTGGGGGTCGAATGACCCTTTCACAGGGGTCGCCTAAGACCATCGGAAAACATATTTCCGATGGTCTTAGGAACCGAGACACCGCTCCGCATCCGTCTCCACATGGCCTCCTCCGCCATTTGCAGAGAGAAAGAGAAAAAGAGAGAGAGAGAGAGAGGCACTTTCGCTTCCCTTTTCTCTCTCTCAGGCGGACTTACCTCCTGCAGGGCTCCTGATTGGCCCTGCGCCCGGGTGCCCCACCCCCTGGGAGAAGCGCGGCCAGGGCCTCGTGGCCTTGGAGCCACCTGGGGAAGCTCCAGGATCCCTGCTGGGAGCAGCCCACTAGAGGCTCCGCTGAGCGGGCCAGCCCTCCCGCAAGCCGCGGCCCAAGGAAGACCAGCCCCTGTGATCCCCAGCCAGCCTGACCATTGGACCCGCTGGCCAGGAAGGCGCGCCGGAGTCCAGGCTGCCGGGAAGGAAGAAGGAGATGCAGCAAAGGTAGGAGAGGAGAGCCGCCTCCTGGGGCCCAGCACTAGCGGCGGCTTCCTTGCCCTCCTTTTCCTCCTCCTTCTTCCTTCTGCTGCCCCCAAGGCGGCTCACGCGGGCGCCGGGGCAATAGGGGTGCCTGGGGGGGAGCAGCCAGGCTGGCACTGGCCAGGGCCGCGCGGCACCAGCCCCCACCACGGCTCCATCGATGGACGGAGGACGAGGCCGGGCAGTGCAGAGTCCCGGTGGGGGTGGCGGCCGGGCCAGGGGTGGCGGAGACCCCCGATGATGCTGCCGTGCCACCACTGCCGCCCGTCCTGCTCCCCCTCCCCACCCGTTTGGCTGAGGAAAGAGGGAAAGATAGGGGAAAGAGGGAGAGAGGAAAGAGAGAGAGAGAGGAAAGAGAGAAACAGGAAAAGAGAGAGGAAAGAGAGAAAGAGAAAGGGAGGAAAGAGAGAAAGAGGAAAGAGAAAGAAACAGGAAGAGAGGAAAGAGAGAAAGAGGAAAGAGAGAGAGAGAAGAGAGAGGAAAGAGAAAGGAAACAGAAAAAGAGAGGAAAGAGAGAAAGAAAGCGAGAAAGAGGGAAAGGAATGGCGCTTCTCCAACCAGGCTGGGCGGAGCGGCCTTCCTGCCCCCCCTCCCCGGCCAGCTGGATGGGGGGTTGGGGGTCACCACAACATGAGGAACTGTATTAAAGGGTCATGGTATTAGGAAGGTTGAGAACACTGTGCTAGATAGAGTAAGCATCAGGCGTAGGCGTGGCTTTCAACTCCTGCATCACCCTAGAAGGCAAAAGAACTTTAGAGGATGGAAAGAGAGAAAGAGAAGCTCAGATAGAAAAGTCAGTGGATCCAAAGGTAAAATTTGGATCCATTTTTTCGTATGTTGTCCTCCAACCTCTAATGCAGGAGTCTTCAAAACTGGCCCTTTTATGACTTGTGGACTTCAACTCCCAGAATTCCTCAGCCAGCATGCCTGGCTGAGGAATTCTGGGAGTTGAAGTCCACAAGTAATAAAAGGGCCAGGTTTGAAGACCCCTGCTCTAGTGAATGGCACTGTCGACTTAATATTCTTCTTCTCCTTTGTATTTAGAAATAACCTTCCTTCCCTGGTCTTTCCATTATATATAAGGCAGAATTACAAATTCCTCTAATTTGTACAAGAAAAAGGAGAAGCAAAGACCAGGGGAAGTTAAGATAGCCTTGAGAAGCACATCTTTTTGAGTATTTGCACTGGACACTTCCCTATCTCCCTCTTCTCTCTCCCCTCCCCACCAGCATAAACCCACAAAGAATGAATGAATGCCCCAACTCAGATTTCTACAAGGTGGTCTAAACTTTGAAACCGTTTTGATAAGGCCCTGAACTGCAGGAATACACAAGAGTGGTCTTCACCCAACATCTTAAGCCATGCTGAATTCACCCCAAAAGCTAACCCTAAAGGAGGGTTTTACAGGCTTTTATAACTGGGTTCCAGCAAAGCTTTCTGCCATGAAACAAGCCAGCTCAGTAGATTGGGTCAACCTTATGGTTGATTGGGTTGAAGCCTTATGTCAAGCAATGACTTATTGGTGGGTTTGGGAGCATCCCAAAATTGGATGGGGTGACCCCCGACAATCACCCCAAATCAAATAAACTACATCATGGCAAACAGAGCTTGTGTGAACCCAGGCCGTTTCTGGATCTGGCCTGGTTGGCATAACAAAGAGTTTCCCACGGACTCCCCCAAACTCAATCCCCCCAAAGGAACAAAAATTAGTGACAGTTATCAAACAGAGGGCAGAAAAAAGAGAAATTACCGGCAGTTTTCCCGTGGAGGCCGATCGCATGGTTTTGATCTCAGGTCCATGAGGGGTGGCATAAAGGCAACCGCCTCGAGGTAACGGAGCGACCACCGCAGTTTGGGGATACACCTGAGCGAAATAGGCTGCGGGGAGAGCCCGCACCGGAGGGCCTGCGAGGTCGGCGACCACCAGCTCTGCGGAGCTGCCGACAGACATGCTTTTCTTTTGTGACTGGGGGGGGACGAGGGAAGGAGCCCCTCGGCCGGGGGCGGAAGGCCCAGCTTTGGGGAGTCTCAGCATGGCCTTCCTCCGAGAGGCCAGGCGCAACCAGGAAGATCTTGAAACTCCAGCAACGCGTGTCGGGACCGACCTGGAGAGGTACAATGGGAAAAGTCCTCCTAGCCATTTAAAACTGCCATCGGGGGGGGACTACCCAGGATCGGCCCCCTAGGATACAGATCGGGGAGCGGAAAGAAGAAAAAAGGAGAGGAAAAAAAAAAGTCCCAACGAAAACGAAGCGAGGTTGCAGCGCAGCGTGGGAGGCTTCGTTCACACAGTCCGGGTCTCTTCATCCACGCGGTTCGCCAAAGGCTCTTTTTTTCTTGAAAGAGTCAGCCATCAGGTCACTCGTTAGCTCCTCTGCCCTCCCCCACCCCACCGCTTTTCTAACAGCGCAGGTTGGGCCCGGGCACCCCAAAACAAAAAGCACCCCAAGATTTGCGCCTGGCCTTTCCAGAGGGGACTTTCCCGGGAGTTCGGCTGCAAAGTTGCAACTCGGCCAAGCTCATGCCCGAGCAATGCCCGCCACCCGCGCCTCTCCTGCAAAGCTTTTGTGGCGGGGGAGGGGGGGAGAGAAGGCAGAGAAAATGCAGCGTCGGATTGAAAACAAAAGCTCGGCGGGCCTTTTTTGCAAAAGGCCCGAGGACGGGGTCGGGTGGGCGGCGGGAGGTTTCGCTCCGGCGAGCCCTATCCTCCGATCTCCGCTCTTAATGTCTAGCTGGCAGGGCTGCAAGGCTTTGGAAGCACCAACCGGGCAGGGATCGAGCACCAGCCCGGGCCCTGAAGCCGATGGGGGCCCTGCTAGCGCCTTTCATGGACTCCTTCCAACTTGCAGTGCTCCTTAGGACTTCCGGCTGGGCTGCTGCAAGTTTTCCGAGCGCTGCCAAAGCTGCCGGGGCCAAGGATGGATCTGGATTGGCACAAGAAAGGACCCGATGGCTGCCCAGCCCTTTCTCTTTCCGTTCCTCCTTCACTCGCTTTTTTTTTTTAAGCGCCAAACTACGTGCCGCGAAATTCGGATCTCCCGCGGAAAAGGCCGCGCTCCCATTGGCCCGCGCAACACCAGCGCGTCCCCGCCCACCGGATTTGATACATTTTGTACCGCGAGGAGTAAGACCGGAGGTTCGGCTCTTAAAGGGGAAGCGCTGCGTGGCCCCAGCACTGCACGAGGCTCCAATGGGCCTCCGCCTTCCTTGCCCCCCGCCCGTCAGGGAGAGTGGGCGGAGCCAGGCAAATACTGACCCTGGGATGGCCCTCCTCGCACGCTCTTTCTGCTCTGTGGCTTAAAGCAACGCCCGGGGAAGCGGAGGAGCCTGGCTTTGGCAGGTCCTCCGGGCGGTGACCCGGCGCCGGAGATGGCGTTGGGTGGCAACGGGCGGCTCCGACTGCGAGACTCCGTGTACTGGGTTCGTCGTTTCGTGTGAACGGGGCTAGCTGAGCCTCTGGTCATCCTGTGGTCTTGGAACAAAGAAGGAGCCGGCGTGGAGCCATTCTTGAACGCATTCACGCAGCGCGCTAAAATGCAGAAATCTAACTTAATGTGGATTAGAAACAACTCCGCCTGGTGTGAATGCACTTATTGCCGTTCGGTTTTCTGTTTTGGGGTACGGTGGGTTTCAGCTTAACGGAAAATCATGCTGATGTCAGGGGACCCAGTTGAATTGCTGCCCACCTTATAGGCTATTCTTATTTGCTGTTGGTAGCGTGTATTCAATGGAGCCCGAGGGGACAGTTCCCTAAGCTGAACATCTGGCTGTGTTCATACAACGTGTTCATCCTGGTTACTTTATTAACCCATTTAGAGCAGGGGTCCCCAACCTTGGCAACTTTAAGACTTGTGGACTTCAACTCCCAGAATTCCTCAGCCAGCCCTGGCTGGCTGAGGAATTCTGGGAGTTGAAGTCCACAAATCTTAAAGTTGCCAAGGTTGAGGATCCCTGGTTTAGAGAACAGGATAAGTTAAAACTAATGGATGGATAATGTGCTGTCAAGTTATTTTTCAACTCATAAGGACCACACAGATTTAAGACAAAGAATGCTCCAATGTTTAAAAGTACACTGCTAATGCCAAATGTCTATGGAGGTTTTCAGATACCAGTTCATGGTTCTCCCAAAGGTGCTTTTTCCAAAAGGCAACAGGATTTTCTTGGTTTTTCCTTTGAAAACATTTTGGTTCTCATCCAAGAAACTGAACTGAAGAAGCTTCTTGGATGAGAACCAAAATGTTTTCAAATGTTGCCTTTTGGGGGGAAAAGCACTATTGGGATGTGCTAATGCCACTGCTTTCACTATTACGTGTATTGTCTGAATAGTTTTGTCACAACAAATGTGCCACCAAAATCCACTTCTATTTTTGCAAGCACTTGAAAAGAGGACCCTCTTTGTAATGGGAAGAGGGCTGACGTATGAGGTTGAAATTTATTTAATATGTATGGCCAGCCACCTCATATATGTGACTGGGCTGTTAAAATCGGAATAAAACATATTTTTTTTAAAAAAAAATGCTTCAGTTGCATGGAATAGCTGCCAAGAACATTCACAAGATTCAATTCAATCTTGGGATGGGCTCACCCACATGGCCATATTAAGCATCAGAAGAGAATCTGCTTAGGAACAGCATAGATTAGGAGTGTCAAACTGCCAGCCTGCGGGCCGGATGTGTCATGGTGAAACCACGCCCGCCCCACTAACAGCAATGGAAAAAAAGTTGCAATACAGCAAGACACATCACGTGACGTTTGCGAGTTTGATACCCCTGGCATAGTTTCATTAGGGTTTCTTCCTTCTGCTGCTAAAGGGTTTTTAGGCAAAAGAGCGTTAAACTCTGACCCAGCTAGGTTTTAATAGTTTTACTCTATCTTGAGTAATCCATATTTGGGCTTGCACAACTATTATACCAGAAATCATAGTTTGCAAACCTCAGCATCTGGCTTCATATAAAATGCTATGCTGGCATTAAACAAACCATATTATGTCTTAGTGCAAAAGTGCAAACTAGTCTAAGACAAGCCAGAAATCTAGAGATGATACAGACCACATCATAGCTCCTGAGCCCAATTATTTTCTCTGTGAACTGCTGTAATTCTCTCTGGGTGCTTTCCTGGGTCTCCTGTAGTCCTTATTAGGACTATCCATTCCATGATCTTATCAAGCTATAAGGGTAGATATGTGGATGTAGTGATAAATCTCTGGATGATATGGAACAGCATTAAGAGAGCCAGTTTGCTCTAGTGGCTAAGGTACCAAGCTAGAAAGTGGGAGACCCAGAGTTCAAGTCCCTCCTTAGCCACAAAAGCCAGCTGGGTGCCTTTGGGCCAGTCACTCTCTCTTAGCCAGATCTGAAGAAGAATAAAGTAGAATAAAGTGGAATAATAATAATGATAATGAAAAATCACTAAAAGAAAAATGATGTGTCTGCATAGTTACTGGAATAAAGCTGTGTAAGCAATCTGTGACTAACCAAATGCACAGCACATTGAGAAACATTGTATAAAGTAAAACTCTCTTCATTGTATTCCCATGAGAAATGAACCTAATGTGTGAGAAACTAACCGAATGATATACAATGTAGATTCCATGTGTGCTCCTTTGTTCCTGAGAAAGGGAAAGCTATAAAACTGTAGTTTGGACCCACCCCCTTTGTTCAGAATTGCTGTTGTTAATCGCTTCTGAACCTTGCGCAAATAAACCTCTCTGTTACACCCTCTTGAATTCGTAAAAGTCTTTCGTTTTCTACAAGATTTATGGCACCTCCAGACGGGACTTTTAGGAAGAGGCCATTGACCTTCCAGAGGGACTGCCCTGGTGGAGAGCCCCTCTCCTAAACGACGACTGCTCCAAGCCGGCTCCGTGGCTTTTGTCTACGGGGAGACCTCGACGGGAGGAAAGGGAATTTATCCATCAGCGAAGCACTCCAGTCAAAGGATCCACCGAGGGTGGCAGACGGATCTTTAATCAACAAAAGAGTCTGGAACGCCTGCAGGCAAGTATTGTAAAAGGGGAAACCTGATCCCTTTTGGATCAGAAGAGGGGAATGATCAACCCCTAGAAGACAAGGTGGCATCCTTAAGTCTTCAATAGGTAGGATTGTGTGGGTGGTTAAACCATCGCAGTTCCTGCAGAGTGACTGTTGGAACGTCCGGCACCTCAGGTCAATGGTAGTGTATTAGAGAGAGAAATGGGAGGTAAACAGTCAAAGAAGGGTGTTGGCCAGATGCCACTTCAGTGCATGTTAGAAAATTTCAAAAAGGGTTTTTCTAGGGATTATGGAGACCCAAGACCAAATCCAGCCATGTTAAAAAGATTCTGTGAATCTGAATGGACCACCTTTGGCGTAGGGTGGCCCAAGGAGGGATTGGCGAATCCCAAACTCATGGCACGGGTTCATCAAATTGTGACTGGAAATGGTCATTGGGACCAATACCCCTATATTAACCAGTGGCAGATCAATATTGCAGAAAGACCTTGATGGTTAGCAAAGTGTCAGATAGAATGTGCTAAAATATATTTGGCAAGCCAAAAAGCCAAATCTCAGATAAAAGCTAAGATTTTCAGGGAGGAAAATTGCCAGACCCCCTCCCTATGTTCCTAGAAGAGAAGAAGGGAGAATAAATCAGCAAATTCCACCCCCTCTAGTTGAAAGAGATGAAGTCCAACTTCAACCAGAAAGAAAAATAAAAGCAGATGGAACCATTCAAGAGAAAGATAAGGACTTGGATAACGATGAAAGCAAAACAACAGTTTCTAGCCGGACTAGAAGTAAAACGGGTGAAAACAGAAGACATTATAGCCCCTCTAAGAGAAGTTTTGGTCCTGGACCAGACAACACCAATATTTCAATGCTCCAGTATGTTCCCTTTACCACCACTGATCTACTTAATTGGAGACAGCAATTTGGACCATTTTCAGAAAAACCTCAAGAAATAATTGATTTATTCTCAAATATTATCCAGACGTATAATCCCACCTGGGACGATATGCAACAGCTTATCTCTACTTTACTAGATGTGGAAGGCAGAGAAAAATATAAATTAGGGAAATTGAAAGTACTTGCCAGATGGCACCCAGAGGAAGGAGTTAATTATCAGACACACAGAAATACTGATGCTGTAGAACAGAGACCAGACTGGAATGCTAATAATGTCCAGCACCAAACTTTGTTGCAAAATTACAGGCTTTTGTGTTAGAAGCTTTGAGAGAAGTTGCAATCCGTCCAGTTAATTATGCTGCCGTAACTAATGTTTGGCAGGAAAAAAATGAATCTCTAACTGCTTTTTTCAGCCGACTGATAGAGGTTTATAAAATAAATACAGGTCTTGATATGGAGTTGGCACAAAATTGCCCATTCCTAATTGAAAGATTTATTACCCAGAGTGCCCCGGACATAAAAAGAAAGTTACAACACACAGAGGGAGCATTAGGCAAAAATATAGCAGAGATTATGGAAATCGCACAAAAGGTGTTCCATAATCGTGACAAGGAGGAGGAACGCAAATCAGATCAGAAAGAGAAAAAGAAAGTTGAAATGTTAGCAGTGGCATTGGGAGGAATGCATATTGGATCCAACCAATGTGCCATCTGTAAACAGGAAGGACAATGGCAAAGGGAGTGCCCCCAGAGGAATGGCCAACCCAGGGGACAATCTCGCCAGTATGTAAGAGGACGAGGAAGAGGATTTAGAGGGACTTTTCAGAGAGGCTACAAGGGAAACATCAAAGGAAGAGGGCATCCAGCCTATCCCAGTCAGAGGAAAGAGAAGAAAACATGATCGGCTTAGCTGACATGGAATGGGAAGACTGAAGAGGACAGGGTTCTATAGCCCAACTCCCAGAGCCCATTGTTAAAATACGGGTGGGAGGACAGATTGTCCCGATGTTAGTTGACACGGGAGCCACCAGATCTGTCCTAAATAAATCTATTGGCAAGCAATCAAAACAGACCATCCAAATTCAGGGACTATC